TCAGTGGAACAATTTGTGCCTCCAAATACTTGATATGGAGCTGACTGCACTGCCTTCATTGCTTCTGTACCATATGAGTTGATTGATATTGGATAATCATCAACTCTGCTTGTTGTCATATACATACTATTCTGCTCCATAAAAAAAGACAGCACCTGAGTATTTATTTTGCTTTTTATCAGATCTTCTTAATTTTTCATTGCATCTATGAAATGTGTTTTTTACCTCAAGTAATTGATCAAACTGGACTGGTGTTGGTACCAAATGCATTAGGGAACCAAATGAATACTGCAGCAAAATATAAAATTCAGTAGTTGACATATTTTTATTGTTTATGACTGCATTTTAAATTATGAGTTATTTTACCTCATACATGTCCTTGGTGTTGACATCATTGTTGTTGTATCCTTGCACTTTCTCATAATTCTGAATCTGATATTGTGACTCTGACATTTGCTCCTGTCTTGTACCTCTTCCTTTGTTCTTGTTATGTTAAAATATCTAAAATTGTGTAAGATGTAATCTGCTGCTTATACAATCACCTATAAATAGTTGTAATCAGGGCTGTTGTAATTAGGGCTATTAAAACATCGACTAGGGCTGTTGTAAGTAGTTAGAATCAGCTATAAATAGAAAGCATAGTTTGCCACATTCAGAGTTCACAGCTTCTTGCAGCTCATTGTAGTGTGTTTGGGCTGTTCTCACCCCTTGGTTGCAACATCCAAAAATGCTTGTTTAATCAGTATAATTGCATTAGCAGCAAATATCAGTTGCACTATTTGAAATGCGTAATTTGTTTTCCGGTATTCTGTATTTTTTTCTAAGTTCCTTAATTTGTGAATCTGTAATTCTGATTACTGAATTTGGTTGCAGCAAATACTAGCAGCCTTGGATTACATCTTCATGAGAAAGTCGGTGCGCTTACCTTGGCTGTTGAGGTTAGTGGTTCCCCTTCAATCTGTTGGTTGCTTGTCCATTTCCTCTGCTCTGCTTGCCTCCACGCAGAGGAGATCTTCATCTTTGATCTGCTGGTTGTTTTCTCCTTTCCCCTGCTCTACGTGGGGATCTGATCTGATCTGCACACAGAGCAGTGCTCTGCTTGCCCCACGCAGAGATCTGATCTGATCTCCACGCAGGGCAGAGGCTTCCCTCTGTTTGCTCTGCTTGTTTTCCAAGTATATCGATTGCTATTTTGAGGCTTATGTGCTGGCACATCTTTAGTGGACATCTCTGTCTTCTTAGTTATTGGGCTCTGGGCTGACTTACTCTTTATTTGAACAGAAGACAACCACAAAAAACTTGGACAGAAGATAGCAAAAGACAAAAACAATAGAGTCGTGGGTCTTGTTTGCCTGATGAAATTTGTGTGTTACATTCTCCTAAAACACACATTTTTTCCGTGTTTCAATTCGTGTGTTTCTTAGGCATCCAACAACCATGTGCTAGCTAGTCCAAAAACACATGGTTTTTCCTATGTTGGAATATGTGTGTTTTATATGCAGCCAACAACCATATGTTGGCTTGTGCTAAAACACACGTTTGTAGAGTAGACAGACTCATTTTGATACTGTTCACGTTGTAATTTTCTGCCTGTGAATAATTTCTCACAAAGAAAAACGATTTGTTCCGTTCACTACCTCTCGTTCAATGGACTAGTCGCACGTAACATATCAAAAATTGATATGAATTTTGTGATTCTATTGTAGTATATTATTGGCCGTCGGATTATATTTCTTCACTAGTCTACCGTCGTGAAAGCCATCAAATGTAAGCCACGAACCATGATCTTCGGAGTTGACACGAGTGACGAGTTTATCTGTCTACTTCGTCGACGTCAACAGTGATGCTAAGACTCTCCGACTAGAAATACAGAGGGCCAGTTTAGTTCCCCAAAATTTTTAAGATTTTCCGTCACATCAAATCTTTGGACAAATGCATGAAGCATTAAATATAAATAAAAAATAAAACTAATTACATAGTTTAGACGAAATCCACGAGACGAATCTTTTAAGCCTAATTAAACTATGATTGGACACTAATTATCAAATAACAACGAAAACCGTTACAGTAGCATTTTGCTAAATTTTTTAGCATCTAAACAAGGCCAGAGCTGCTTTTTCACGAACGCTGGGGCATTTTGATTCCCTAACGCAAGCCGGGACTGCGTGCTTGCTTCTCTTCCTCTTCCACGTCCACGGCCAGGAGCGGATCCTCCGAATCCCCTGATGCCTCCTGCGCTGCTTCCTCTGCCCCTGCCCGCATCTCGCCGTATGTTCATAAGTGCGCATTGAAAGTTTGGCTGGCGCAACGACCAACCGAGAGACCTGCATGCGTTGCGTTGCGTTTCCTTGCACGGGAGAATCATAGGCGTGCTCTACTCCTACCCCGGTGTCAGAGAGAGGCCATTTGTGATTTGTCTCTCCCAGCGGAGACCTCATACGGACAAGAGTTTTCACATCACTCCTCTGTAGCACTATTACTGCTGCTGCTGTTGCTACCATATCCTTCTCAACTTCTACAGATCCTCCGATGAAAGCAGCTTCAGATTTTTCGACGCCCAAAAACCACGGCGGCATCATGACTTGGGAGTCTTGGACAGTGGACACAACCAAACAACAAGCATCTGGGTCTCATGTGTGTGATCACTGATCAGCAGGGGAGGAAAGAGGATGTGCTGAAATGATCGCACGCAGCAGCTGCAGAGAGAGACCTGCAGAGTGTGCGTGACAGCGTGAGCCAACGCCATGTACTGCCCATCATGCCATGGGGGACGCAGAACGCAGTGCGAATGCGATGCGCGTGGGCGTGGCGTGGCGCCGGACAAGCACGCACTGGCTGCACACCTGCACTGCCCGGCCATGCTCTGCTGCTGTGCGCCTGTGCCTGCTCGTGGCGTGACGCATCATGCAACCTTTGCCCGGAGAGAAAAAAAAGGCCAGCCGGTGCACTGGTTCCAGCGCAGACGCGCAGTGTGCAGGGGCAGCGATGCAAACCCACAAGGCAAGGCAGGTGATTAATTCGATCGACGCTGGGCACAGCACTACTACCACCTGCAATGACGAGGAAAGTGCTCCTGTGGCCTGTGGGGCCAGTGAAGTGTGAACCTAGGAGTACACTACACTAGCGAAGCTGCGAAGAGGAGAAATAAACTGAAAAAGAAACCTTATTAGTACTTTTAAGATTAGGCTCCGTTCGGCTGGCAAAATTTTGACTGAAACTGGCTAAAAATACTGTTCTTGCTGAATTGTTGTGAGAGAAAACGCTGTTTTGGCTGGAAAAAGAAGCCGAATATGGGGTAAGACCCAAAACGAATCGAACGGTTGCTTCACCGTTCTGCGTTTCTGCAGTGCAGGACGGCCAGTAACAAACTGCAGAAGCAAGAAATGTCAGGTAGCCGCGGAACAGCGGAACGAGCAGGCCGACAGGCTTCGGCTGGCTTCGTGTATTTGGTCTGCATTTGTCTGCAAATTTTGACGTTTTCTATATGATGTGCTTTAAAGTCTGCCTACTAGTAGTAGTTATATGATATGGGCATGTATTTGCAACAGAGAAAATGAGTTTGGGATCCTAAAGAAAGATGATGCGACGGTGCGTGCAACTTGCAAGGCAGCCTCGATCAATCGACAGCCACGGCCCCATGGCTATTAACATGGACAGCCTTTGCGATCGATCTTGCCTGCACGAATAATGCGTCGCAGCGCAGTGTTACCATCATTTGATTCGATTGCACGTATCTTCCAATCAATTGCGTATCTTGGCTTCTGAAACACGACGTTGCACCAGGTATTCCGAAAGGACTGATGCGGAACAGTACAGAAGACCCATCATGATGCGTGGCTGGTGCTCGTGGAATGTCACTGCTCCCCTAACTAATGAACCTTGCGCTGAGTACACAAAGCAACAAGTTCGTGGACGAAACGAAGGGGAGGGAGATGTACAGTTCTAGTTTACTTTGCAAGACTTGGACAAGTAATCACACCCATCGTACACCACTAGCCCGGCTTTGTCGAGCTCGTTTTCCTGGAAACAAGCGCACCTTTGGCTAACTTGTCCCGTCAGAGCTATGTCGCCTGGCCTCCTCACCAATCTTGGATAGCCCGTGTCGCACCAAACCTAACACAAGCAGTACGATCTTAATTAGGCAGGAAAAAAAAAGACATATTTAGCAAAATGGAAACTGAAACAACTTTGTTCACTCAGAATCTTCGAAATATGGCCTGGCGCCACTGAAATGACACATTAGTTCAACTCAACATCAATCATGCAAATATGTTTCTCAAGGAGACGTGTGATAGGCAAACATGATTTGGACCATGTAAGATGTTCGGAACATAGGGAAATTCACACAAAACAGATTAATTTTCCTCAAGAGTCATGAGAAATCCCCAGCAGAGCGATAGGATGAGAAAACAGAAGGAAAAGGATCAGAGAACATTAGAACGTCAAATTACTGGAGTTTGCTGGGTCACTGAAAATCCAGAATAATCTCAACATGTTACACCAACTCATAATGCTTCTCATTAATGCCAGCTGTTTCTTATGTTTATTGCGATTGCATTATTACACAACTCATCTGTTCCCATCTTTATTGGAAAACAGTCATTTCTAGAGTTGAATTATGGTTATGGGCTTGGGGCAAAATTCTTAAATGGTGACTGTCTGGAGCCATAAAAAACAAACCAGAAATTGTTGCCTGAAAAGACCATAGCCCACTAGAGGCATGATACATCCAAATCATACAACATGGCACACTGCTGCCCTACCAACGGGCAATATGTTTTGATGCAGAATCAAAACTTTAAGAAGACTACCTGGTCTGCTCATTTCATGATGTAGCCAATGTCTAATTTTATTTTTCAAATACGCAGGAGAGCAGTGTATCATTTCATTATAGAAGAAAAGGAACAAGTACAACACCAACTCCAACCCCTAACAGTTCAGTAACATGCACGCCATTGACTCAAAAGTAAAGAATGACCATACCTAAACAGCCCCTGAAACTAGATAATCCCAAAGACTAACTCTAGGAGCTGCTTTGCACCTTCTACTACAGCCCTCACAACCTAATTCACATCAGGAGAGATAGGGTTCAAGATGCAATTTTGTCGATGTCTAACTTTGGTATAGTGACCATTTTCATTTGGTTAGTTTGTTTGAATATGGAATATGATAGGAAGAATCTCAGTTTATGAAGGCCTTTCAAGATAAATAAAGAAAGATACCAACAACATCAGATAAAACCACGTGTCAACAAAAAAGGGATGGTACAAGGATACTTACTTCTCCGCCTTCTTGCTGGCTCCATTTTGAATTGCAGCCAGGTATTTTAGCTTCATCACTCTTCTGCTTTTCAAGAAGCTGTGCACCTCTCTTTGCCTTCATTTCTACACCCTTCAGGTACTTCGTAGGATTTCCTTGACTGTCGTAGTAACGTCCAATAAGTTTACCAGCAAATCTGCATCGTACATGTAAAGGAATGTTACAAGGGTATATATTATTAATTCAGTAGTTTCTCTAACATGATCCACTACTTCAGTGATAGCTTAGTGTGTTCCATATGGCACACACATTTGGTACTAACATGAATACCACATGGTATGGTAGTGATGGATTTAAGAACATGATCAAGAGAATCTAGAGCAAGTGCTATAGCGCAAACACATAAACAGTGTTCCAAATCGTGCTCCACTAGCCTGCCTAGGGACTAGGTGCCATCAAGCTGCCAGCCTAGCACCTAGCATTTCCTGGAAAACTGCATACAGTTCTATGAAGCCTCATGGTTTACAGATATGGAAGGAAATAAGTAACATGAAGAGCATGAAGATGGCTCTTAGAAAGGAGCTCACATATATCTTTCGAAGTAAAATTTCCTCCAATCAACAATGCTGTTTACCTGAAAGGAAATTGAAATCCATCATATTGAAAATATTGGCAAAATAAAGAGAGAAAAGTAAAGTCTGTAACTGCTTGTATTCACTAGCATGCACATACAGTGTTATGTTCAGCGTGCTAAGTAGCTGCTTCCTACCAGTATTTAATAGAATATACATACATGATACATGAGGCAACGATGTTTGCTGTTTCAACATAATTATTTCCTAGCATGTCCACACCTATATCCATACAGGCTAGAAGCACAAGAGAACAAAGCTTAAATTGGAACTAACTCTTTAGTAATTAAAAGGTTGGTAACCTGGTATCATAAGCAAGTAAACAGCCAACTAGATTTTGCAGAAGTGGTTAGAGAAGGAGACGAAACACTTCTATATTACAGTTGAAGCTAACTGCCATCCTAGCCCTAATTTATGAATCATGGTACTTTTAACATTTTTCACTGGCTGTCTATGTCTAAGCTTCATATTTGCATTAACTACGAGGTGTACTAATACGAATAACCCATACTTAGTGTGTTTTAGTACCTCACTGCTTGATAAACCCTGTAAGGAATCAGTCAGACCATCACCTGTTGAAACAGAAAGGTTATTCTAGCAAAAGGATATACTTAAGCAATCATAGATCATTCGTGCTTAATGATCATTATCTTTTTCTTATGGTGAAATTATTGTTTTTTTAAAACAACTTTATTAGAAGCAGAACAGCTAGATTGGCTTCCAGGAAGTTCGGTATAAGGGGGGAATTAAGATTCTTCATCCTCCATTAAAATTTAAGTCATATAACTCAAGTATCCTCTTCATCATATAAAGGACAAGTCATATTCTGCTTTTTTTCACTGATCCAAACCCTTTTTTTTCTTTCTACATTAAACCAACAGGCAACTTTTTTCACTCTCTTTTAGCCCATCTCATAGTGCGAAGAGTCAGTAGTAACTGCTTCTAAGATATTGAGTAGGCATGTTCATTAGATGTCTTGATCGTTCCATCTTTTGTCCCTTATGAAATTTGTAGAATCAATGTACTGCTAGGAGTAAAAAGATCACGCAGAAGAATGCTTTTTCTTTTGCAGTTCAAAGGATCAAGAGGACACCAAAATTATCTCTATAGAACCAACATTAACTCATGGTCATCTAAATCAATTACTAAACTAACCAGCTAGCAATAAGATGCAGACTTACCTGTAAAATTTCCAGAAACAAATGCCCGTGATGCATCCCTGTCAAAATAATGCTGTTTTAACATCAGCATGTGAAGCAACAGAGCAAAAAGGATATGGAAGTTTTTTTATGTTTGCCAAAATATAAGAACTAGCCTCCTATAGTTTATAACACCAAGCTACAGCATACATGTAATTCATAACAATGAAATCGAAACAGGCGCTAAAAGTCTAAGACTGCAACCTCCCAGCAAAGTGATGATAACCTCCTCCAGGACCATAATGTGACCTCCCTTTTGTGACGTCAAACACTGAGCTGCAGTGTCAAATGAAAACCAACATCATTCACACAAGCCAAGCCAGTTGAATAGACAAGAAAATACACTGGAATTTGCTGACAACATCATCTGTGCAATTAAAAAGAAGGTATGCTGTGCGCTTGAGTTTTCACTTATTTATCATATCGTGCTTCCCTTTTCTCACGGTAGTTAAGTACTCCCTCCATTCCAAATTCCAAATTATAACGATTTGGCTTTTCTAGGTGCGTAGCTTTTGCTATGAACTTAGATATACACTATGTCTAGATATATAGTAAAAGCAATCTATCTAGAAAAGTCAAAATGTCTTATAATTTGGAACAGAGGGAGTATCATACTGTTAAAACAAGTCAGGGAAAGGAAACGTAGGCATATGAGGGCAAGGAAAAGCAAAAGTACCCCAAAATCGCGAGTAGTATGGGCAACCCCTCGTTGGTTCCATTGTACAGCGATAGCTCCTCCACTGTCCACAACCTCTGCCCATCACAACATGAGACTTAGGTAAGTAGTAGGAGAGAACACAGAGGTGTTCCGGTACTGGGAACTTGCAGTTGCCGAGGTCGAAATTTGTTAGTCAGATGCTAGAGCTGCAAATCAGACGAACCGCTGACACTGCCAGTCCATTTTTACTGTTCATGAGGCATCACATCAAATCACCGGGAGCTCACTCACGTAGGTTGCGAAATGTGACACGATATGTATTTGCTCCATATGACCACATCAAGCTATTAGTCGAGGAACACGCCTATGCGACGACTGGGTGCCACTGATTGCAAACGCCATGTTCGCTTCCCGCAGACTAGATAAAATAAGCGAGATCTAGCTCATAAACTTCGAGAAGCATCAAGGTAGCGAGGAACAGAGGACAGACCGGCTTCCTGAGGCGGTAGAGCTGGAAGACGACGGCGAGTAGCGCGGCGAGCAGCGCGAGAACAAGGAGGAAGCGAGCGCCGCGCGCCATCGCTCTGGCTCCCAAGAGATCCGCAAGTCCGTTAGGTCCACCAAATCAAACTGCCTCCACGGCAACGTACCAGTATCGGTTTTGCTACCGATCCGCCTCAGCGAGCTGGGGCTGCCCTTGGGACCGGACGGCGTAGCTTCGGCGGAGGGACGAATTGGTGCTTGAGGCGGCTATCGACTGGACAGACCTCCGGGTCGTCGGAGCGGAAGACGGGGCCGGCAGACCGGTGGATTTGGCGGAAACGATCGGCGAGGGGAGTTTTTTTTTTTTCTCAGAAATGCTATATAACACATGTGTTTTATAAAAAAACACATGGATTTTAGTCCACCGTGGCCTTTGGTTTGTTCAAGGCGTCGTCCGATTCAAGGTCCGTCAACCACGCTTTCTTATCGCGCAGCAGTGCACCAGCACCGGCCAGGGGACCCATGACGCGACGGGAACGGGCAAAGACACGGTATTTATGACGCAATGAAATTGCACCAAAGACACATGTATTTCTTATTCACGAATGGATGAGCAATGAAACCATCCTCTCGATTTTGTCGAAAAAAATATTTTATGTGATATGTAATTTATAATATGTAGATCTGTGATCTTGTGATTGTCTTAAGGTAGAAAAATGCTAGAGGTAGAAGAAGGATGGAGGTTGTTGGATCTTAATCTTATAGTGCAAAAAATTCATGTGTTGGAATTGTATAAAACACATAATTATACAAGAGATGTAAGACTTTTTTTAAGTATACGTTCGGATATAAACACACCATCATACACACGCACACCTCTCCCACACATGTTGTATATAAACAAGCCCATGTAAACAAACCTACAACTATACTTACACAACGATCACCAGACTCTGAGCGTGGCGGACACGTCACTTGACTATTGTGGCACATCTGTGTAAGAGGCAACTGAAATTATTAACGGAGAATAAATCTCCGAGGTGAAGCTTCGGGTTGATTCTAGAAATCGAACCCAGATCGGCCGCTTGCATTACCACAATGAAAGCAAGGCAACGAAGCTACGGCTCGTCCTCATCTGGGTGAGAGGAGATGGCACTGGGAGAGACGCGAGAGGAGGACCGGTTATCGGGGTGGGCCCGGCAGACTCGAGTGAATGGACGCCGAGACAGCCTCGAGAGAGACGCCTTTATCAATACTTTTTGTTTTTCGCAAAAGATAGAAAATATTGCTTCTAATTGCATCCAAGCATTGATACGATCACATAGAGTAGACTTTAATCATAGACCGATATATCTTTTGAGCCACCATGTTTCCACTAGCATCACAATCCAAGCTTCCGTTTATTCTCACTGGTGTACTAATTACTTTAGCATCATCCATTCCAAATTTCTTGAGCATGTCTTTGACATACTTGCTTTGACTCACAAATATGCCATTCTTTATTTGAAGACCAGGGAAGTAACTAAGCTCTTCAATCATGGATATCTCAAACTCACTTGCCATCATCTTTCGAAACTCCTAACAAAAAATCTTGATTAATTGATCAAATATAATATCATCAACATAGATTTGCAACACAAACAAGTCATTGCCTAACTTCTTGGTGAAGAGAGTGGTGTCAACCTTTTCCATCTTAAATCCCTTAGTAGAAAAATCCCTCAATCTCTTATACCATACTCTTGATGCTTGTTTCAATCCATACAAAGCCTTTCTTAACTTTTTAGACATGATTGGGTTTTTCTCATCTTCAAAACTGGAGGTTGCTCAACATACCCAAGCTCATTGATGCACTCATTTAGAAATACATTTTTCACATCCATTTGGTATAACTTGATGTTGTGGGCATAAGCATAGGCTAACAAGATCCTAATTGCTTTCAATCTTGCAACCGGGGCATATATTTCTCCAAAGTCGAGACCTTCAACTTGAGTGTAACCTTGAGCCACTAATCTTACTTTGTTCCTTACAACTATCCCATCTTGATTTTGCTTGTTCCGAAAGACCTACTTTGTTCCAATCATATTATGATCCTTAGGCCTCTCAACTAATTCCTATACTTGATTTCTTTTAAAGTTGTTTAGCTCTTCATACATGGCATTTACCCAATCAACATCCTTTAAAGCTTTATCTATCTTCTTAGGTTTAATGGATGACACAAATGAGAAATGTTCACAAAATGATGATAATCTTTATCTTATTTGCACACCTCTTGAGATATCACCAATTATAGAATCCAATGGATGATTGCAATATTGTTAGGTTGGACCACTTGAGTTTGATTGCTTGCATTTGATTGATCACTTGGTTGAGATGATGAACTAGCCACTTGTTGTTGATCTTACACTTTGTCATCACTAGCACTTGCTTGACTTTGATCTTGAAAACCACTAGTTTGCATATTTGAGTTAGAGAGCACTTGATTTTCTTGTCATCTTCAACATCAATCATCTCTCTAGGCCTTATATCATCAATGTTCATGTTCTTCATTGCTTTGACCAATAGAGTGCCTCTCACATCTTCTAGATTCTCATCTTTCTCTTGAGAACCATTGGTTTTATCAAATTCCACATCATGAACCTCCGCAAGAGTACCACTAGCCAAATTCTAAACTCTATATGACTTGCTAGTAGTGGAGTAATCAAGCATTAATCCTTCATCACATTTCTTCTTAAATTTGCTCAATATTGTGCCTTTCTTCAATATATAGCTTTTACAACCAAACACCCGAAAGTATGCAATATTGGACTTTCTTCCATTCAAGAGCTCATAAGGTGTCTTCTCCATCATAGGATGATAATAAAGTCGGTTGCTATAGTAGTAAGCCATGTTGATTGCTTCGATCCAAAATAAATGACTCACATTGTACTCACTCAACATTGATCTTGCCATGTCAATCAAATTTCTATTATTTCTTTCTACTAGGCCATTTGATTGTGGAGTGTACTTGACCAAAAATTGATGCCTAATTCTAAACTCATCACACAAATCATCAACTCTTGTGTTCTTGAATTTACTTCTATTGTCACTTTTCACTTTCTTGATGGTTGTTTCAAACTCATTGTGAATTCTTTTGATAAATATCTTGAAGGTTATAAAAACATCACTCTTGTCAACAAGAAAGAACACCCAAGTGTATCTTGTGAAATCATCCACAATCACAAATCTATATTTATTTCCACCAATGCTAGTGTATGTGGTTGGTCCAAACAAGTCCATGTGTAAGAACTCAAATGTCTTGGATGTGCTCATCATGCTCTTCTTAGGATGTGTGTTACCAACTTGCTTTCCGGCTTGACATGCACTACAAAGCTTATCTTTCTCAAATATGACATCCTTCAAGGCTCTAACTAAGTCATACTTGATCAACTTATTAAATTGTTTCATTCCAACATGACCAAGCATTCTATGCCATAACCAATCCATGCTAGACTTAGTGAGCAAACATGTTGACAATTGAGCTTCTCTAGCATTGAAATCAATCAAGTATAGATTATCATATCTAAATCCTTTGAATATCAAGTTAGAGTCGTCTACACTTATGATATCTACATCATCCACACCAAATATGCACTTGAAACCAAGATCACACAATTGATCTACCGATAATAGGTTGAAGTTCAAGCTCTTTTACTAGTAGCACATTGAAAATGCTCAAGTCATTGGATATTGTAATCTTATCAAGCCCTTTTGACTCTTACCTTTGTCATTATCACCAAATGTGATACTATCAACCCCATTGTTATCATTTTCATTGATTGAATTGAAAATTTTGAATCACCGGTCATGTGCCGTGGTGCACCCACTATCAAGCACCCAATACCTTCCTCTGGATTTATAATTGATCTACAAAGAACATCAATTCCTTTTAGGTACCCAAACTTGCTTGGGTCCTTAAATGTTAGTTACCAAGGTCTTTGGTACCCAAATGACTTTCTTCTTTGAACTCACAATTAGTGTACCAATAAACTTAGCCTTCACACCATTGGCACCCTTAACAAACAGGTAACAAGAATCAAATCTAATCGAGAATACATTAGGTTGTTTGTTCTTGTTAGTCTTACAATATTGCTCTATATGTCCAACTTGCTTGCATCTATTACAAAACAGATCATTGCCCTTTATAAAGCTAGCTTTGGGAGTGACAAAGACCGCCTTGCCTTTCTTAGGGGTATAGCCTAATCCTTCTTTGTTGAGAGAAAACCTTTGGCTACCAAGCACTTTAGTAAGCGGACATCTCTTCCATAGGCATTGCCCAAGGCACGAGTGAGCTCATTCACCTCCTTGAGGGTTTTATTTTTCATCATTAGTGAGGCATCACAAGTGAAACCATCACTCAAAGGTAAAGTAGAAGTTATAGTGCTACAAGAAGGGTTAGTGGGAGTAATAATAATGGGCTTATAAAAGGATTCATCAATAATATCACATGTTAGTCCCACATCACAAGACACAATCACTTGCTCCTTCTTGGCTTCCTCCTTCTTGACTTGCTCGAGGAGAGAGAAGTGAGCTTTTTCAAGCTTAGTGTGAACTTTGCCAAGCTTCTCATGGTCTTCCTTTAGACTCTCATGAGAAGCATTGAGCTCATCAAAGGATTGTTCAAGAGATTTTATCTTCTTAAGCAATTCTTTGCACTCCTTTTTCTTCTTCTCAAAGCATGTGTGTACTTGCGCACACATGTCCAAGAGCTCCTCCTTGGTGTACTCCTCATCATCATCACTCCTACAATCATCACTATCATAATCATCATCATTCACATCATATTTTATCTTAGTGGGCTTTACCATGAGGCATGTCGATGGAGTGTCGAAGATAGAGGGCTTGTTGTTGATGGCGATGCTTACTAGTGCTTTCTTGATGGATTTCTTGTCATCATCACCAGAGCCGTCACTATTCGAGGAGCCATCACTATCCCAAGTGACCACATAGCCTCCACCATTTTCCTTTTAGAAGGTCATCTTTTTCTCCTTCTTTTTCTTCTTGTGCTTGTTCTTCTCATCCTCATCATTATCACTATTGTAGGAATAATCCGCTACAACG